TGCCGGAGTTCCAAGTGCGGTGCCCACTAGCACCGGGCATTGCCACTGCCGTCCTAGGAGTTTGCACTTACACCTTTCTGCAGGTTCACGCTGTTTTTCCCTCTGATCAGCCACATTCAGCATCTTTTCAGTGCCCGTTTTCCACCCGCACCTCTTCTTTGGTGACGTCTGTTCAAATCTTCTGCCAGATTTTTCAGTTGAGTCATTGGTTTTCTTAGGACTGAGTTTCAGGAATTCTTCACAGATTCTAGGTAGAACCTGTTTGTCAAACACATGTTTTGCAACTATTTGTCCCAGTATCTTTTGACAGTTGAGCTTTTGCATCTTGTCAGCTGTTTTCCTTAATGGTTTGTGATCTTTGTGCCTTATGTAAGAAATCTTTACCAAGGCAGGTGCACACCTGTGATCCCAGCACTCAGGAGGCTGAGGCAGGAGAATCATCACAAGTTCAGGGCCAGCCTGGGCTACATAGAGAGCTCAAGGCCAGTCTGAAGTACATACAATAAACTACATAGTGAACTACATACCCTCTCTCAAAACAAACAAACAAAAAGAAGAAATCTTTACCAACCCAAATTCACAAAGATTTTCCCTGTGTTTTCTTCTATGCATTTTATAGGTTTAGCTCTTTCACTTGGACCTATGATCTGTTTCAAATAAATGTTTGAATATGGAATGAGGTAAGCATGAAGGTGTGCTTCTTTGCATAGGAATGTTATTTACTTTACATTGACCCTAGTACCATAATCACCAAATAATTTGGGAGAGAAGATCATTTTGTCCTACCCCATATAACAAATCCTTACCATAGAAAAGTGCCAAATTTGGTGTATTAAGTAAGAAAGTGTGTGTCACGGAGGCAGATTTAAGATCACTTCCAGTTGTGTTGCGTGGAAGCCACAGTTGCCCGTTGTGTATAGATGGTCAGATCCGAAACATATTGGATAAATCCTGACTTCACATTCACATCAGCTTGGACTGGGCTTTCCTGGCTCATGCCAGGCGATATGAAAATGCTCACAAAAGTTACCAGTCCTCCTTAAGAACCATGAATGCTTCCAAATCTTGGATGGAGAAATTGTTTTCCTGGATCCGAGAGCAGTCTTGCCTTGGGGAACATCTGACATTTTCTAATGTGAGGCAAAGAGCGGACAGAAGTCCAGTAGGACTTGGGCTGGAATTCCCCAGTGTCACCGGGCGCTGCTGCCCTCGGCATTGGACACGCCTGGGCCGGCAGAGGAAGGGCGGGTCCCCGGGAAGGGGAGAGGACAGAGCTGTCTGGGGCGCCGGTGCCCATGAAAGGTGACACAGGAAGAGCCAGCTTAGGAAGGAGGAGGGATTTCCTACCATTCAGACGAGGCCCGTGCGTCACCGCGGCTCGTTTCTGCTCTACCAGGAAAATGCTGCCCTGCAGATTTTTATTTTTGGAAACTTTTTTCATCCTCCTCTGGCAGATGGAACTCTCGCTTCCTTACCAGGCATGCTGGAAGGTTAAAGAGCTTGGGTAGAAGCAGACTCCACTCCGACACCCAGCGGGGTTCTGCACCCTGATTCACAGGCCTTTCTCCCGGCTGCTCAGGTTGCAGGCTGACTGTGCGCACGCGCACTTCTGACTGCTCTCCTCTGCTCTCGGAAGCTCGGCTCCCAAACTCAGGAAAGCTCGGTGTGCATCAGTGTGGCAGTGTGGCCACAGGATTTAAGGAGTGGGAGCCGAGTCCGGCCTGGCCTGTCTGCTGGGCGAGCCAGGGGCAGGGAGTGCAGCACCTGCCACGGTGACCGCGACGTATTGTGCCTGACAGTGTCACCAGAGCGTGAGAGGGAGAGAGATGCCACAGACCTAGCCCCAAGCCCTGGGCTCTGACCTTTTCTCTTTGAAGATAAGCGTCTCCTGCCCTGTGAGCCGAGCCCCGGAGGGGACGCGGTGGTACCGCACGGTGATTCTCAAACTTCCCGGTACCAAGGAACCTCCTGGGGTCCAGCACAGATCCAGGGGTCTTGTGGCCTGGACTCTGCTGCCCAGCAAGCGCTAGTGCCCCCCAGCTCCCTGAGCCCTGACGGGAGTTCCCGGCTGCCCTGTGTCCTCATAAGGACAGGTCAGCCAGGTTAAACCCACGACAAGGCTTCTCCCAGAGGACGCAGTAGTGATCAAAAGACACGGTTACTGTTTAGCATGCTTAAAATTTAGTACAGTAAGAGATGAACTGCCATGAATCCCCTCAAAATCGTCTCCCTCACTTCAAACACACTCATCCCACTGCACTTGCCACTTCCTGCAGCAGGTCTGGAGTCCTTTCTCCTGCATGTCTTCACCAGGCGTGATCAAAAATATAGTGACTGCTGCTGCCGAGCACCATCCACTAGAAAGGCAGGCTGGGTAAAAACAAGACTCTGTGTCCTCCTCCACCTTAGTCACCAGATCTGGCACCATGTCTCTTCTGGCACTTCTTCAAACTCAAAATGACCATGAAGGGGAAACATTTTGAATATGATTCAGGACATCGAGGCAGCCAGGACAGCACAACTAAAGAACCTCAGGAAAGAGGACTCCAGACCTACTGCAGAAATGGCAAGAAAATCTTGGCAAGCTCAAGGTCCTGAGGTCAATCCCCAGTACCAAAAAAAGAAAAAAGAAATGACAAGAAAAATGGGATGAGCATGTTCAAAGCAAGGGGGAGGATTTTGAGGGAATTCACGTGGTCTTTTGCTGTAATAATTTGTCTACTCGTACATGTATGTAGCACATAATGTTTACATTCTTTGTGGGAAGTTGGTACATGCACATGTAATTTTTTAATTTAAACATTCACCGCATTTTCTGATCTCATTGCGTATACAATTAAGTGATGTTTTCCAGTATCCTACTTCCAGGAAGTGGTACAGCTCTATTAACTGAACTGTCTGGTGCAGGGCATGCTTACGGGATGGAATCTTAACTCCTTCCCGTAGCAGCCGCTCACTTGTAAGAAATATTTTGTGGTATTACTCTTATCATGGATATTGCAGGAATTTTAAGAGCCTTAGGAATTTAGGAGATGTTGAGATTTATGCAAAGACAATTAAAGAAGACTCCTCCTCTCTCTGGGGCAGTTTTTATTTTTAACATACTTATTCAGAAAGTAAAGGAAGAGATGGAATGAAGTTTTCCAGCCGGAGCAGTCGGGCTGGGGTGAAAGTTGCCGATGGTGTGGTGCGCACGCAGGAAGCCCTCGCTGCTGACCCAGTGTCCAGCTGCTCCACACACAGCCCCTCTGGCAGCCCGAACTTCTGGGACAGCCCTGGTGGCCCAAGGCACCTACCCGTGGCATCCCCAGGCCACGGTGTGAGTGTCTGGTTTAGCCCAGCACCACAGGGGTCACCTGGGGAGAGAAGTGGGTGCTGAGTCCTAGGCATGAGGGTCTAGTGCATGACCCCTCAGACTCCCTGACCCTTCCGCCCAGAGGAAGCTGGGTGGAATCGGGTGGAACGTTCCACTCCAGGAGGAGCTCTGGAAGAACTGCAGAAGCAGTGCCAGCTGACACTGAGAGGCTGGTCCCCAAAGTGACGGCGGATGCAAGTGCTGGGGTGGCTGCAGAGAAACCCAGCCCTTGTGCTTTGCTGGTGGGGACAGAAATTAAACTGAAATTGCCCTAGGACTCGGCAACTCCACTCCCAGGTGCTCCACGTGAGAATTAACAACAGGAACTCTGCAGGTGTTCGCACACACTTGTGTACAGCGGGAAGCTCCCAGCACCCAAAAGGCAGACACACCCCAAACACCCACCGTGTGGCCCGGACGCGGTGTAGAGTCCGCGTGCGGTAAATGCCATTCAGGGTCAAAATGGTGTGGGGCTGAGTCCCCAAGACACGGTGGATGGAAGGTGGCACAGACAGCAGGGGGCGCTCTGTCCTCCATTAGGTGTCCCGGTCGGTGGTCGGGATGCAGTCGGCTCCTAAACTGACTCTCCCATCCCATGAGAAAAGCTCCCCTCCCAGCCTCGTCCTTTCTGTGTCTACAAACACGGCCACTGCAGGTCCCGTGTGGTCCGGGCTGCTCCTTCCTCTGGCCGGGTGACGCCCCCTGGTGTCTGCCCGCCTGTGCATGGCCCCGGGCTGCACCAGCGGCGCTGCTGTGAGGGGGAGCGAGGGGCTCTGAGTCCTGCCCTGACTCTGCAGGTCTCTGAAGCGAGGTTGCTGTGTCACGCGGTGGCTGCGATTTGGGGACCTCCACCACGCTGTTTCCACAGGACCTGCTGCGCCTCTCCCCCAGCCACGGGCAGGGCTCTGATCTCTCCATGTCCCCCAGTCACTGATGAGTGTGCATGGTGCACTGTTTTACACACTTCATAACCACTTACTTCTTCCGGAAGTGTGAACAAAAGGGAGAGATAATTAGACACGGGTGTGTCTGCTCTCTGGACCCAGCACGTACTTCCACACCTCTCTGAGAGTACAGAGATGGCGTTGCACACATCCATTTGAGACTTCAGTTTTAACACCAGAAAGATCAGAAAGAAGCCCGGTAAGCAGGTTCTGTGCAGCCCGACCCAGGGCTGCCATTCCACTGTAGCACTGAGTCAGTCACCCAGGACTGTGTTGTCTCGGCTTGATAGTCTCCCCATAGACTCTGGCCTCTTCCTCTAGCCAGAAATCCCTCTTTAGCGCTGTGGAGAAAACAGTAGTTGTCTGAATGCTCTCTGAAGACTGTAGCTCTTTGAGGATGAATGGAGTGTGGCAGATAGCAGGGATTAGAAATGAGTGTCTTGGGTGGGTGATTTTCGGGTTTGCTTTGTTTTGTTTTTTGCAATACTGGGGATTGAACCCAGGGCCTTTGCACAGAGCTACGTCCCCAGCCCTTTTTTATTTTTCATTTTGAGACAGGGTCTCACTAAATTGAGAGTCCCTAGGCTGGGCTCAAACAACTTGTGGTCCTCCTGCCTCAGCCTCCCAGAGTGTGAGGATTACAGGTGTGCACCACAGGTATCTCGCTTTAATTGTGAAATTGAACGTGTGTTGTCCTGCAGGGTCTGCCGGGGCCAGCAGGTCTCCCAGGCTTCCACGGGCCACCAGGACTTCAAGGATTCCCAGGGCTGCAAGGCCGCAAAGGTGACAAGGGCGAGCGAGGAGCTCCCGGGACGCCCGGGCCCAAAGGCGACGTGGTAAGGAAGGCGCCGGAGTCCCTGCTTCTGGGGCGCTGGGTGAGTGGCCCTGGTTAATCTGTTCTCCTTCCTCACAGGGCCCCAGAGGCGTTTCTGGATTCCCCGGAGCCAACGGGATTCCGGTAGGTGCTGTGGAAGCTTGCGGTTTTGTGCCGTTGTGTGTGTTGTGGGCGGCAGGCATGCTGGCGTGGGGAAGCATCTAGAAGGAGGCCTCCTCGGGTGTTTAGGGCAGACGTGAGCGCAGAGGTTTCCCTGGGAGCCCAGTCAGTCCGGGGTGGTTTCCTCACGGCTCCCGAGCTCCCCGGGCCTTGCATTGCGTGAGGCGCGGGCCTGCGGCAGCTGCGCTGGGAAGGGCCAGTCTGGCTTTCTTGGGGACAGCTGGACGGACGGCCAGGGCAGACAGGACACGGCCCCGCATTGGAGCAGCCAGGGCCCGCGGGTGACCGCACACAGCGTGAGCAAAGGGAAAGGCATGGGCTGTTCATGAGAAAAATCTCAAAGTGCAATAAAATGTGTTTTTCTAACCTAGTTTACTTTACTTCTTGTGGCATAAAATAACAAACCAAACAGCCTGACTCAGGGCGCTCCTCCCAGGGAGGCGAGTGCAGATTTCCCAGGCCTGCCTCCTGGCCAGATCTGACCTCGGGATAAATGTTTGTCGCTTGTCCTCACGCCTCCCCTCGTCTGCAGCTGCGGTGCCAAGACATCTGCTTCCCAAGCCTCGCGTGGAGACGCAGATGTCAGTGCCCTTAACCTGCACACGTGTCTTCCCATTGCCATACATGTGTGTGCACATGTGCCCATGCATGCACACGCATGCACGAACATCACACCGCACCCACACATGCACACACACTCAAGTGCGTGTGCACACTCAGGGAATGAGCAGCGAGCTAACAGAAGAGTTCGCGCCTGCCTCACACGAGGGGACGTCCAGAAGAGTAGAAGGAAGCAGAGAAGAGGAAAGAGGTCATGTTTACCACGACCTCTGTGGCCGGGACCTGGGTGTCACCTTCTGGCGGGCTCAGGCGGACCCTCGGTCATGACACGCAACCAGGAACAGAGGGAAACCACTGTCCTGCTGGGGTGCTGAGGCATGGGATAAAGAAATAGTGGAGGATTTTCCTAAAGGTGGCCTAAAACTAAGTCACCCACTTTTAAACGTCGTTTCGACTCTGGACTGTCCACTGGTCGTCCTTGGAAACTCAAAACCCTAAGGTGATATTATTTTGATAAAAATGGAAACTGATCTGCCCCTCCTTTCATTCCTGTTTCTGCCCTGAACTCCTTTGATTCGGAAGCAGACAGTTCGCCAGTGAGGGAGCAGACTGTTTCTACGAGATGGCGGTGCTGCTCCAACTAGTTGACTGACATCACTGTCATGACTAGTCAGCTCCCCGATGTGGAATTGGGTGACCCTTGTAACTTTAGCCTTTTAGATGGCGTGGAAAGTGATACACAGGAAACGCTTGCAGTACATCTTGTAGACACGTATGGAATTCCATGTTTTTGTTTGGTACCGGGGATCGAACTCTGGTCCTTGCACTTGCGTAGCAGGCGGCGAAACCACTGAGCTAAATCCCCGGCCCCTGGAATTCCATGTTGAGAGATCTCACGTGCGCACTTAGCTTGATACAAGTCTTTCTCAGAAGCCCAATTTCAAGCTCAGATCAGAGTGGTATGTGATTATTGCAGGTGACGTAGTTCACTTCCGACGAGAAACTGCAGGCAGATACTCCAGGAAGAGAACAAAGAAAGTGAGGGTACATTTTAGGCAAAAGCAGCATCCTACACAGAAGATCTGACCAGAATTCAGAGAGCTGTTTTCGTGGGCTGAAGCTGAAAGACTGGCTTTTAGAAAAGGTCCTGGTGTCTTTATTTTAGGGTCATCAATAGCTGGCTCTGCTAATAGGTTTGGCTGCATTAACAGATTTACAGGCGCAACGGGGGTTTCTCTGACTCACCAGCACCTCCCTGCCTGACAGAAACACTTCAAAGCAGTGGCTTCCAGCATCTGAAGCAAAAACTTGTGCGAATCAAAGAATTCCACTTTCCTCCTTGTATTTCTTAATACCATCTGGGCCACAAGGCACTGTGTATAGGGTGTATTCGTTGCTCTTGAAATTTTCCAGAATTCTCAAAGGAAATCTAAAAGACATCTTAACTGGTCTGGAAAATCTTTCTGGAATGTTATCAAGAAATCCAAGCTTCAAAGAAATTGCACAACTGAAAGCATAGACTTCAGAATCTGTCGCCTGAAGAACGGAAAACCAGCGCAGGCTGCAGTCACGTCGCACATACGCTGTAGATTACCAGCCTTGCCCCGCTGTGCCTTCTGGACCCAAATTCATGCAGTGGAGGTGTCTGCATATCTGCCTGGGCCACTCTGGCTCCTGCCAACATCTCAGAACACATACTTCGTACTCATACCTCGAAGTTCTCTTCCCAAAGAGAACAGCTGGGAACAACTCAGTTCTGCGTGTGGCAGAGCAGGGGACAGAATCACCCCAGGGGTGTGACGCCCTCTGGGGTCTGCTTAGGACACAGGTCCCTTGCTCACGGCCTGAAACTTAGTCGGCGTGACTGGAAACCGCCCACAGCGCCTGGGGTCCTCTGTGGAAGTTCAGGAGGTGCCCTTGCACGCCGCTCGGGCATGACAGCCACCCTGAGAGCCAGGCAGGTGGCCCTGAGCGTCCCCTGCAGGCCCTTGTCTAATCTTCTACTGCTTCCTCGTCCATGTCCGAGTCCTGTTCCTTGGACTCCTGCGTGGCCATGGCCTCCTTGAACGTAGGCAACTGTGACGTGGCACAGTTACGTGCAAACCAGCAACCCATGTGGGCTGGAAGCCTCACCTGCTTTTCCCTTTCCCAGGGATATCCGGGCCAGGGTGGGCCCAGAGGGAGGCCGGGCTACGACGGCTGCAACGGGACCAGGGGTGACACAGGCCCGCAAGGCCCCTCCGGCTCGGAAGGCTTCCCTGGCACATTCGTGAGTGGGGCGCAGGGTGGGTTCGTGTAGCCAGGAGTTGAGTGGGCACCATCTGCACACATGCAGGAGAGCTGCTGTGGCCTCTGCCCCCAACCCCCAGGCCGGGCTGCTGGAGGGCAGTGTCCTGGAGAGCCCCCCGGAGGGCAGGACGGCTGCCTCGGGCACCCGCTGGGGACCCCTCTCACCGTGGTGGGCAGAGCCTCAGCCCCTCCTGTGCTTCCCTGAAGTGCTCGGGGCCTCCTGGCCCTGGGTTCGAGGGGCCACATTCTTTCCTAAGCATGAGGTAGAAGCTGGTGGGTTCTGTCTACGATGCTCTGCCCACCTTCTCCTGAGAGCCCCTTCCTGTCCTCCTGTGGGAACCTTGAGGCCGTTGCCTGTTAGTCCCCATCTCTGTCCGATGAACCAGCCTTTGTGTCCTTCAAGGAGGTCAGGCTCTCCCTCCTTACAGGGAGGCAGGTGCACCTGGGCCTGCGCTTTTCAGGGAAGAACTTTTATAAACAGTGATTAGCAACTTTATAGTCCAGTTCATTATTTAGGTCTTTGCACAGACCACCTCTGACATTTTTGCAGTATGTTGCTGCCTTCTTACTGTGAAAAGCTTCCAAATTCGGGGTTATGCTCCAAAAAAATTTTTAATTAAGACTTTTCTTTTTTAAAAAACATTCTAAGGTAGAAGGAAGCCAGGGACAGCTTCCTGCTCTTCACCCTGCAAAGAATTTATTTCTCTAGCAACTCGGTCCCACCTCTCCCTTCCACTGGTGATTTCTTTGTGGTTCAGCTTTTTAATCAGCTCATCATTCCCAGTTCTAAATTTCATAACCAAGAGTTGTCTCCATTACTTTAAAATTGATGGTATAAGCAGGTATTGAAAGACGTTCATACATAGATATGTGTATGTACGTACTGTCTGTATTTAACACAATTCCAGTTTTAAAGACTGGCCCAGTATCCCCCCCTCGAAAATGTGCCTTCATAGTGTTAGAACACTAATGCCAAAGACAGCACCTAATTTTATTCCAAAGAAAAATAACATAATGATATGCTAGAAGACAAGTTTGGAGGGGCTTCATTTGGGTTTTTGGAACTAAGCTAAATCCCATAAAGCATTTCCATTGTAACTCTGAGGAAAAGACACTGTTGAGTGAATATGAAATCAGTAACTGAACCTTGGAACTGAACTCACTCTTGGAACTGAATCTAGGGGTTGGTGTTCAGGATGATGTGGAGCCATGGGAACAGTTAGGCATTGGCTACAAAGACTGCTGCCTAGTTGTCCTACACTGACTATTAATGGACTTTCTTGTGTTTCTCTTTTTATGAAATACCTGCTAATTTAGGGGCCCCCAGGACCCAAGGGGCAGAAAGGCGAACCTTATGCACTGTCCAGAGAGGACCAAGACAGATACAGGGTATGTGGCTGGTGGTGGGAGGCAGAACTGAGAGTCCCATGTAAATTCCCGACCTCGTGAGCTCTCTGTATGGGGACGAGTTGGTAAAGGAATTCTTGGAATAATGGAACAATCCAAAGTTGTAATTTATGTGAACTCATCATTTCCATCCGGGACGTTTGCGATTCTGCATTAGTTGGGGGCGCACCCTTTCCTGTGTTTATGGTGCCCCAAGCCCCAAGTTGAACATAAGATCACCGAGTCTTGATGGCCTGGTATGTCCCATATGCTGTCTCCAACTCTGCAGCAAAATGAAGCCAAATCTAAAGGTGCTTAGAGGTACTCACTCTGAACCATTGTCTCCTCTCTGCAGGGCGAACCCGGAGAGCCTGGGCTGGTTGGCTTCCAGGTGAGTTTGATTTTGATTAGAAGTCATCCAGGTGGGATGTTTAGGACTTCAGAACCCCACGCTCAGGGCTGCCCCTCCTCTCAACACAGCCTCATTTCCTGTCCACAGGGCCCTCCCGGCCGCCCTGGGCCCATGGGGCCAATGGGTCCAGTCGGAGCCCCAGGAAGACCGGTGAGTACCACGAGCCCACAGGCTTTGGGGCCAGGTCATCCGCAGATGCCGCTGCTCACCTGCTGGGGCAGGAAAGCTCTGCAGAGCAGCCATGTCCGAGGGCTCCTGTGGCACCTCCAGGACAGAGCAGGCCTTTCTCCGTGCCCTGCTGCCGTGCTAAGGGCTCGGAGAGGACTCCGGGTCACGGTCGCTGGCTCACAGCCAGCCACACCTAATTCGGCCTCGGTTCTGGCTGTGCCTCCCAGGCCTGAGGACCTGGACCCACACCCAGCCATGCAACAAAGGCCATCACCACTGGGCAGAGCAGGAAGGTCCCACAGGTCACTGGGGGACCTGGGCTCCTCCTGGGCAGGGCCGTTAGTGGGAAGACCGTGGAGCCCTGGCCTCAGCCATTGCAGTGAGTCTCACGGGCATGGCCCAGGGGCAGGCAGCATCACACCCGGCCCGGCCACCAGAGGGGCCCCAGCTAGGATGAGGGGAGCTGCTGGGAAAGAAGGGGCCACTGCAACCCCGGGCCCCACACAGGCCCAGGCCACCGTGAGAAGGCTGCGGATGCACCGCTTCTCCGTGTTAGCAGTGAGACAAATGGGCCTGGCATAGGCAAGGTTCTGGCCGGAGGTGAGAGAGCCCCAGACTGGGACAGGGGGTCCCGGAGGCTGTGCCCGCTCCTGACAGACCCTGAGAGAAAATGGCATGAATGGCAGTCTTCTTTTGCAAAGCAAACTTCCTTGGTGCCGCAGAACCATTTCCCCAAGGAGCCCCGTCTGTGAGGGGCAGAGTCGCCCAGGCGGAAGGACACAGGACACGCCTTTGCCCGGCATTGCACCTGGTGGCCGGCTTCCTCCTAATGCCGGCCCTCGGGACTTGGAGTTTGACTCTTTAAGGGACACAGCACAGGGAAATCTGGAGCAGGCCGTGTGGCTGCTCTGACAGCGTGAGCCCCACCGCCTGCTCGCTGTGTCGCCCGGTACCAGTACCGGAGCGCTGCTCTGTAGATTAAATCTTCCCAGAGCGTCTGGGGCCCACCCACCTCCGAACCCTGCCACACGGTGTCTGTGGAGCCCAGAGGGATCGGGGCTATGGCAAAGCCACAGGGCAGGGACCCAGAGGGCGCAGCAAGGCCACGGTAACATCCAGGCCCAGGCACACCCAAGTGGACTGGGAAGAGCCATTCTGCCCAGCAGCTAGAACTGGTGACCCCGCCGTCCTGCCTCATCCCCGGGCCGTGGTGTCCTAGATGGCAGCAAATGGCTTTCCAGGGCCCCTGGCAGATGTCTGCAATGTGTCTGTGTTTGTGCAGGGCCCCCCCGGACCCCCCGGGCCGAAAGGAGAGCCGGTGAGTATTGGGGGCCGAGGTGCGGAGGGGCTGGGCTGTGTGCACGTTTCTACCCGATGACTGCGCAGCTGACAGCTGTGTGTTGTCTATACTCTGGCGAGAGGCCGTTCACGGTGTTTGAGGCTCAGTGGTTGCCCGCGAGCCTAGGTCCAGGGGAGCGTGTGGCTGTCCCAGTCAAGAGGCGTTGTGTGCCAGGCAGCCAGCACATTCCTGTTGCTGTCTGAAAAATCACTCCAATGAATGTTTGATTGGAAATGTAGCATTTTCAAAAAAATCCAGGCATGGTGGCACATGCCTCTAATCCCAGCAGTTGGGAGCCTGAGGCCAGCCTGTGCTACATAGTGAGTTCAATCCGAACTACATAGCCACACTCTGTCTCAAAAATCAAAAACCGAAAAAAAAGAAAGAAAGAAAAAGGAAAGTGTTCCATTTTCAATATGTGTGTGGTGGCACCTGCCTATAATCACAACACTGAAGAGGCTGAGGCAGGACGATCTCCATGAGTTCAAAGCCAGCCTAGGCTACATAGTAAGTTCAAGGCCAGCCTGAACTACATGGCGAGACCCTGTCTCAAAATAAGAGCAACGAGGAATAAGTAGCATAGATCAGTGTGGGGACAGCTGGTGTCCATCTCCTGTGAATGGGTGGGATGCAGCCTTATCTGTCGTGGGGAGACGCAGACGCTCGTCTTACCTGGATGTGGTCGGGTCCTGCTGGAGCCTGAGGCCGACTCCCGGCCCGCGCTGGGCTGCTTGCCTCGGGGTGGCTGGCTGGGGGGAAGCACAGCTGCACAGCTGGTTTGCCAGAAACGTAGCGGACAGAACTGGGGTTCACGGTGCCCCAGGAGGCCGGACAGATGGTGCTGACAGGGGTTTGCTCAGCCTGGCCTGCAGGAAGTCTGGGAGCCACGCTGCCCCCCTTTGGAGGGGACCGCAGCTGCCGCCCTCCCGGGGTCTGCAGGCCCCTTCCCCTCCCACAGCAGGGCTTCCGGGACACTGAGGCAGCCGGAGCAACGGCCTCAGATCTCCCTGGCTGCCCCGCCGCAAACCAAACAGTCGCTTCCTGGTGGCCTTGACAGCCGGGTGGGAGGGAGAGGGAGAGTCGGGGCCCCATGGCCTCCTCCTCTGGCGAGGCCGCTGCTCAGGGCTTTGACTGCAGCTCCCAGCCAGGTGGGAAAGAACCAAAACCAAAGCTTAATGAAAGGCTTTGTTTTTCCTGCCGCACACACGGGTGGAGGCCGGCGGCGGGCTGCAGAGAGAAGTCTGGAGGGCCGCACGTGAGCCTGTCCCACCGTGGGAGTAGAGGCCTGGGAAGAGCCCCACGCCTTGGAAGTCTGTCCCCACGTGGGTTGTGGGGCGGTCCTGCCTCCTAGGCAGGAGGAGGAAGAAAGGCTCGATTGAAGCCAAGGAATTGCCCAAATCGCCACATTTGGATTGATTTTAAATCCCCCAAAATCACCCAAGACATAGGAAATGTTTCTGTGCGATTTGGGTGATGTTATCAAGGGGAGAAGAAGGGAAATGCAGTGTGGCTGTCAGGGGCGGACTCGGGGAGGAGAGGGGCGGGCCCGGACCCCGGCCAAGCAGAGCGGAGGGCCAGCTCACCGCAAGGGGCGAGCCTCAGGGTCTACCTGAGGCCTTCACACAGGGCCTGGCCACGTCCAGCCGGGGGTGTGGGGCTCAGTGATGTCAGGCACAGGGGGCCTGGGGCTTTTTCCTAAAAGAGTAATTGTATTTTACTGTGAGCCTTTTAAAAACTCACAGAAGCCATTTACCTTTCCAGGGCAACAGAGGACTTGGTTTTTATGGAGAAAAGGGGGAAAAGGTAAGGAAACCCTGTGGATTCTCTGGGCAGCCGGCAGGGTGCGCGATTCCCAGATCTGTGTGGAGGGCAGGGGTCACAGGCAGGCAGGGGGACAGGTTCGGGACCCTGCAGGGACAGTTGTGAGTCAGAAGGTCACGCCGGGCACTGCTTCGCATCAGGTCTGAGCTGGCACTGGGGGTGTGGGCAGGAAGCTTTATTATACTCACTTTGTCTGGTGCTGATTTGTCACGTGACAGTTACCGTGGGACAAGATGGGTGTACATGTGCTGATATGCACAAAAACTAAAACAGCAGCCTTGTGGGGGGATGGTGATGTTATCAAGTTGTGTACCTTTCTCAACATTTATTTTTATCTCTGTTTTTATGAATACACACTTGCAGAACACACCGATCCCATTCATATGGAGAATCCGTGCGTGTACCTGACACATCCCAATTCACTGCACGTCCTCCTCCTCCATCTTCTGGTCCTCTTCCCATTTGCAAAAAATCCACTTCCCTGTTTCCTGTTACCTATCTCTTAATTTTATTTATGCTTTGGGTTTCTCATATAAAAGAAGCCATGCCATATTTAAGCTTGTGCATCTGCTTGATTTCACTTAACATCATGTCTCAAGGCGCATCCATGTTCCTACACAGGACTCAGGTTTGTCCTTCTTTCTGGCAGACTAGTGCTCCACCGTGTGTAAAAGTCATTTCCTTTATCCATTGATCTGTTGACGGACACACAGGCCACTTCCAAGATGCGGCTCTCATGAGCTGTCCTGCTGTACTTCCTTTCCACCTAAAACAACTGCTTTGCCACCCCACACACAGGGTGATCAAGGCCAGCCGGGACCCAATGGAATCCCATCGGACACCACTCACCCCATCGTTGCTCCCACCGGCTCCACCATCCACCCTGATATGTATAAGGTAAGAGGGCGCTGGCGTCCCAGCTAGACTCGAAAAGGCAGAGGGCAACGGACTGTCTTCAGTCTCTTCTGACGGCCACATCCCACAGCCAGCCCCTGGAACATCCTGGATGCTTCCAGATCGCTCTAGATTCAGGGAAATTGCCTCAGTAGTTTGTGCTCTTACACAATTGTGATGAACTCAAAGCAACACAAGAATCCACTAAAAACCTCAAATCTACCCTTCTGTATGAGTCTGCGAGGTAGACACTGGCTAAGGAGCCAAGCATAACTCAAAGCCAGGATTTTGGGGCACCTGAGTGGAGTGTTACATTTGGAAGATAAAACCCACTTTCCTTCCTCCATGAAGCACCTGACTGTGCTTTGTTTGTTTGCTGGCTCAAGGTCAGTTTCCCCTGCTTCTCCTATGTTCATTCAATGCTCCATGTGATTTTAGCATGCACCCCGGTCCGCAGTGGAGCTCGCATTCCGCGGTCCCTCCTGGCAGGGACAGGTCAGCTCTGCTGGCCCTCCTGTGTCCCTTGGTCAAGTGGAGGTGGTCGCGTCGGCTCAGAGAGCCAGCAAGTAACTGTGAGGCCGTGTGGGACGCACACAACACAAAAACATGGAGGTCTCATTTCCCCATAGAGCAGGACCCCAGCCCCCAGTGTCTGTCACGGTGGATGCGGGAACCTCAGGCACAGGCAGGATTGGCGGCCAGGGCCACCGTCACAAGACGGAAATCACCCTGCAGCCATGGCCTGAGTTGGTGACCACCGACAGGTGTGGATTCCGAGGTGGCCCTGGGGCCTCCGTCCAGGGTCAGGACAGCGATGGGGGAAGGAAAGGTCCAGGGCACCACTGTATGTCCTCTGGAACCCCGAGGGGTGGCTCCCGGCAGCCTGCAGGGGGCAGACGTGAGTCACAGGAAGCCAGCTGTCAACCTGGGGGGGAGCCCAGGACCTGGCCTAGAGAACTGAGCAGAGAAACTGACACTGCTTCCTGCAGCCACCGGGCTGAGATTTGAATGTTCCACACACGTCCTTACTCAGAGAACCTTCCAGACGTGTGTATTGTGTTGGAATGAATACCATGGTTAGGGCCTCTTCTCCAGCCTGGCCCTCCCAGCGGGGACAGACAGTGGGACACACAAAGATAAAGACACCACCCATGTGAAGATCCCATGCGAGGAACCAGCTGTGGCTCAGGGAGAGGCCCAGCCACACGCACACACACACCCAGCCCCTAAGACAGAATTTATTTTGTGAAAGTCTGGAAGAAATAATCCTTTTTTCTCATTCTAATTTTGAAGGTGCAAAATTTAGGAATCATTGGTTGCAATTAATTTAAAAGATTACTTAAAGTCTTATTAAATACTTTGCACTTCCTATTATAAACCTGGGTGAGAGCCGGGATTTAGCTCAGTGGTTTCGCTGCCTGCTGCACAAGCACAAGGACCCGAGTTCAATCCCCGGTACCAAAAAAATAAAAAAATAAAAATAAAATAAACCTGGGTGGATTGGTAGCTATTACTGTTCTGCAATTAATGAGCATTTCTTATCTTTCGTGTTCTTCACAGGGTGAAAAGGGCAGTCAGGGAGAACCGGGGTTTAAAGTAAGTCCAATCACAGAGCCACTTCCCCGCCCTGCAGTCCCCGAGTTCTCGTGGGGCAGGGGGCTGCACTGCCCGCTTAGCAGGCTCAGTTTCCCGTCCACTTGTGTGGGCAAGAAAGGGCTCTGGAGAACCGGGTCATCCGCATGTACCCCGGCTGCTCAGCCCTTTCTGGCGTTAGAGTTGCCGTGAGGCTCGGGGGGTACAGCTGGCCTCGCCCTGGGCAGATGGGTGCTCTCTGCCCTCCCGCGTTCGCCCCCAGCCTGCTGCTTATTTCCAGCTCTCCCTGTCGTTAGCCGTGGCAGTGACCTAGGGCATCTGATAAAGGCAGCCCAGCACACACGGAGGCTTCCCCGGGGCCAGAATGGGGTCACCAGTGCAGGATGCTGGGCCCGGCTGGGGAGCTGCAGTGGGCCTGGCGACCCTGGTGGCCCTGACACCCTTTGCTCTCTCCTAGGGCATTTCCTACAAGGGAGAAGAAGGGATCATGGGCTTTCCAGGAACACGGGTAAGCCACGCTGCACTGTTTAAGTCCTTTTTCTAAGAGCATATGTTTGCAATACATGGTAATTATATTCATCTTGGGGAAATGTACACATGGGTAATGTGTCTTCATCATTTTGTAACCGCACCGGCTGTTTGGTTTGGTTTTGCTTTTTAAATAGCATTTCTTTGATGAGAACAGTTTTGTTCCTAGCAAAATGGAGCAGAAAGGACAGGGATTTCCTGTTGTCCCCAAAACGCCTGCACCCCACCCCGTGAGCCTCCCACTGTGGACGTCCCCCCACCGGGGCTCTGTGTCCCCTGTGGTCCACGCACCCAATCAACCGTCACCCACCCGGTCCTGGGGTTCTAACCGGCGCCCCCAGCGTGGAGGAGGCGGAGGTACTGCTCCTGCTCCTCGGCTCGCCCGGCCTCTGGTCCCTGAAGGCCTGAAGCGTCTTCAACACGGTTGACTGCTGGCTGCCCTAAGAGTCACCAAGAATGTCCCTGGACCGGGCCGGCCCTGAGGGCCAGGTGCCCCCTGCCCCTCTGCTGGCTCCCCCTGGCCCAGCGCAGCCCAGTGCAAGGTGTGGGCAGAGCCCTGGCAGGAGGGGGAGCCCGAGGGCCCCGTGACCTGTGAACGCCAGACCCCGCAGAGCCATGGTTTGGTCTCCACAGCAGGAAGGAGGGCGTCCTAACGCACGCCTCTTCTGTCCTGCTGTATGGTCCTGTGCTTTCTCCATTCCTCTTTACGGGTGGAAGTTCTGAGATGTATGAAATGCGGTTAAGATGATTTGTCTCCTGTGGAAAATGCACGTCCCAGGTGCCCTGGACAGCCCTCTTGGAGAGGGCGGCTTGCTCTTCGGATGGGGGCGGGCCGGGGCCGGCTTCCAAGGGGACCACTGTGCTCGCCTGCTGCTCTTCAGAATCCTCAGAGCGAACGAGGCGACGCCAGGCTGGCTGCTTCTGTGAGCTGTTAATTGTTTCTGTCTTCTGTTCCACCAGGGACCTCCTGGCCTAGATGGGGAGCGTGGATTCCCAGGACAGAAGGTAGGTGGTACGGGGCTCCGCTCGGGATGGCTGCCGGGTGGGGACCGGAAGCGTGGGACCCCTGCGCTTGCAGCGCACGAGGAGCCCTCCGCCCCGACCATCCGCACTCAGCCGGGCTCCCCAGGGCCTGTCCTCACCCCGCACTGGGCCTTGCACGGCCCTGTCACCGAGGCCACTCTTAGGGAGCTTCCTGCTGCCCCACACGTCCCCCTGCGTCATTTCACGTTCAGTGTAGCCCAGTTAATAATTTTCAGCACGTGTTCTGCGGGCGGATTTTGGGCTTTTCTAGAACAGAGTTTCAGGCGAAGGCTGCACTGTGAGTCTGGGTGCGCTGTGAGTGTCAGGGGACGGATGATGCTCTGCCTCCGCATTTGCTGCCTTCTCGGATTCCACCCTAACGCGAAGACGACCAGCCTCCCCGCTGCAGCCCAGCTCCCTCCCTGGAGTCCTTGAGCAGTCCTCGGGTGCAGCTTCAGATCTGGGGCCCCAGGAAGTGTGGCTCTGCGTGCACAGGAGTGATTGCATGCAGCTCCTCTGCCCCTCATCCTGCCCGCCCACCTTGGGGCAGCACCACACCCTTGTTCCTTCAGCAGCGCTTCAGGGCACAGGACTGAGCGCCAGCTTCACCCCAGCTCAGCCTGCCTCAGCCCTGTGTGAGAGCCAAGCCAAGGAGGCCTCGGTGAGAGGCGCTGAGCCCCAGGGCTTCCTGCCCCGTTGTCCGGGGCACCAGAGGACTTGCCCTCACGTGCCACTTCCACCCTCTGGAGGCTCTGGGCACAGCTGTTGGGCCCCAGGTTCTGGGTCTGAGCACACGCCATGCAGCGCAGCCCGATGGCTTCCTGGAAACTCGATGGTCTGATTCTCACCCCTGCCCCTGGACCCCAGATCTGACACCAGGCCTTGCCGTGGTGAACCACTTCCCATGCCATTCCCCGTGGCAGGAACACCCCAAGGTAGCACCCTGTCCACCCTGCGCCCAGCCAGAGACGGGGAGGTCAAATCCCAGCTGCTGAAGACAGTGCAAATGTCCTGAGGGGACAGAGGGCTGAGCAAGCCCTGCCTCAGAAGCATCCATCCGTGCCCGGCCCTTGGAGCAGTCAGAGCTGCTGCCAATCCTCCCGGTGCTCCAAGCTGGACTCATCCTGACAGCCAGCGGCCCTGCCTGCCTGCCTCCAAGGCATCTAGCTAACGTGCCTGCCCACCCTATCATCCCTGTACCTTCTGCACCGCACAAAGGAGTCCCTCGATTCGGGCCGGCTGAGCCCAGACTCTGAGAAAGACCAGGACGCCTGCAAGCCCTGGCTGTGTGCCTGTGGGAGCTGCTCGGGACTCCAGGAAGTGCATGGACCCGTGGCAGAGATCACACTCGGCGGGCGGCTGTGGCTGGGGACAGCAGTCGGCCCTGGTGGCCTTTGTGGTGGCTGTGGTTCTGGGCTGGGTCCTCAGCACCGTCCACCCCCTGCAGGCCGCCAGGGCTTCTTCGGGGCCAGGCCTCTCCTCCGTGGCTCCCAGGTTCTGCCCAGCCTGGTGCCTGCTCTGGGCCCAAGAGGAGTTGCAGACACAGCCCTGTGGGCCGCTCTCCGCCCGGAAGCAGAGGTTTCTGCGTCGCTCCCTCCCGCTGCCTCCCTGGTGACTTCCCAGTCCGGCTCCTTGAAAACCTAAAACTGGCTGCTTCTGGGTCTTCACCTCCACCTGTTATGAGAAAAAGACGCAGCGCCAACCACAAGCAGCCACCCTGGGTTCACCCACACCTCGTGGACTTCAGCTCCTGTGGAGTAACCCTACCAAGCACGCTTTGCAGCGTTGGCCCGCGCTGGCAGCGAGTTTGGGTGCCAGGCTGCACGTGGCCTTCACAGAGGGGACAAAGTCTGGGTTTCAGAAAGCTGTTGGGAGCTGTCAGACTCCTCAAGGTGCACTGCGTTCAGGGACCTTCTTTCACGAGAGGGCCAAGGGATTCTGAGCAAAACTAGTGAGAGATTTTAAAGGAAACAATTGCAAATTAAGAGTCCCTGATGCTCCTGTTTGGTGCTGAGTGGAAATTGTCAAAACCCATCTTGGAGAGGTTTTCACAGTGGGCCTGGGGCCAACACCTGGCCAGGGTCACTCGGGCCGCTAATGTGGGGCGTGGTGTTGTGACCTCAGAGTGACACACAGGAAGTGCCGGCTGCCTCCAGGAGCAGCTCTGGACAGACAGGACAGGTACACAGGCTCCACCGCTCCCAGAGGGGCCACCGAAGCCACCTCAGGCACTGGCAGCATCAGTGCTCCACTTTCTACAGCAAGAACAATAAAGAAGACACCGAAGACAAGAGGAGGAAACCACTGCAAACTGAAAGAGAAGTGAGACGCATCACAGCTAAATCCCTACTTGGGCTTTGGCTCCTGGTGTAAGCAAAGGAGCTTTAAAAAGCCATATTTTAGTCTAAAACAAGAAAATTGGGTGCCCTGGGCAGTAAGAGAGTTTGATGAACTGTTCTTAATTTTATCATAACTCTTTCAATAACACTGTCACAGTCCCTTCTCGAGGTTGTGTCAAGATAAATAAAATGTTTTGTCTCTGTTGCAGGGAAGCAAAGGCCGGGACGGCTACCAAGGCCCCGACGGACCCCAGGGATCCAAGGTGACCTGTGCCTCCGTCTTCTCCTCTGACGCGCCTGCCACCCCCGGGAAGGGACACCCACCCCACCAGCGCAGCGTGGTGCATAGCGCCACCCGGCCTGGGCAGAGGAGCCGGGCAGCGGCTGACTGGCTGCGTGCTGTTGGGGTCCCTGGGCGCACAGGGACCGGCAGGCTGTGGGCTCTGCAGCCACAGGGCGGGAAGTGTCCTGGGTATCCAGGGGACCACCAAGCAGCTGTCTGCCACACTGCTGTCCACGTTCAGCCGCGGCTGTGGAAATGTGCATGTCAGAAGCCCCAACCATTCCCACGCTCTTCTGCTCTTTCTCCAGGGAGAACTAGGCGAACCCGGCCCCCCAGGACCCCCAGCCTACTCGCCTCACCCCTCCCTGGCCAAAGGTTTGTAGGAACAGCTCCCCTCCTGTGGGGCGCGGTGGCACACGCACGCTGCTTCTGTTGTGCACGGGGCCCGAAACCTTCTGGACTGGTTTTGCCGGGCAAAACTAAGGTGTCCCGAGGCGCTCTTTGGGGTCAGAGGCTGGAACACCCCTCCCTGGGGGTTTGGAAAGGTCCCGGGAGGCCCGGACCTGGCCCCTGGCACAGCACTGTGCACTCGAGGGAGCCCTGGGCCATCTAGAATGTCGCTCAGGACCCCACCCCACCCAGCCCGGTGGGCGCCCTGGGGATGTCTCTCCTCCCCCAGGACCTGGGTCCCTCCAAATCTGAAACTGCTAAGAAGGGGTGGGAGACTGGCTCTGCTTCACTTAGGGTTAGCAATGTTGGTAAAATGGAAATAAAATCCCCTTGAGGCTTTGGGTGCACGGCTTTGAAATTAATGCTGGTGATGCATCTCGTATACTTCTCAAAACTGTCCCAGAGGAGGACCTGGGATTCCTCCAGCTCCCCCCCTTTCCCCCACACTCTGCCTGGGCACTGAGTGGGGAGACAGAGGGCTTTAAAATGCATCTTTAGCCAGGTGTGGTGGCGCACCCCTGTCATCCCAGCACTCAGGAGGCTGAGGCAGGAGGATTGCCATGAGTTCGAGGCCACCCTGGACTACCTAGCAAGAGCCTGTCTCAAAAACAAAAACAAAAAATTTTTTTAAGTAGATTGCCTCTCTCTGGCACATGGATATGGCCATCTTTGCTTCTTGAGCACCTTTGGCTGCTGCAGAGCTGGTGTGTGGCGGAGTCACATTCCGAGGTCTGGAGTCCATGTCACGCTGAGAAAGAAGCTGGAGGGCTCCTGAGAGGGCCCTGTGTTGGGACAGGATCCCTGGGAACAGACAGCAGCCCTGGTCCTAGCAGACACATGAGCAGGTGAGAGCGCCCCTCACAGCTCTCTTCCCATTCTCTGTGTTCCAGGTGTCAGAGGGGACCCAGGATTCCCGGGAGCTCACGGGGAGCCAGGAAGCAGGGGCGAGCCAGGAGACCCAGGCCTCCCAGGCCCACAAGGCCCCCCAGGCCTGCCCTCCGTGGACCAAGGTAATGCGCACGTCCTGCAGGGCTCAGAGGGCCAGTGCGATGGGCCGCAGGGTGGGGTGAGCTGGGCAGCCAGTGTCCTCAGTGGATGCTGCCCCAGGCCGAGTGGCAGAAGGAAAACAGGTCTTATCTGTGGGGTTTTGAGGGTGTGAAAGACAAAGCGCCCTCAGGCATGCACCCCAGCCTGACGGCCTCGGGGAGGTGGCAGGCAGTGCAGAGGCCGGGCCTCGAGGCGCTGGCTGGCCTGGGCCCCAGACCCAGCTGGCCTCACCTCCCCTGGACGCGACACCACACACCAGACACACGCGCTGTGACCCCTGCCGGCTTTCAGGTGACAGGACAGGCCGGCCCGGTGAGACAGGGCTCAAAGGCTTCACCGGAGACCGGGGCATCCCTGCACGCTACCCCGGCCCGCCCGGCGCTGACGGAAGGCCAGGCCCTCCAGGACCCCCTGGGCCTGCTGGACCCCCAGGACCCGATGGTGAGTGGGGATCAAGGGTGTTTGGAGTGCAGATGGCGCCCGCCGGCTGCATTTCACTTGGGCTTCTGTGCTGATCGGCTCTGAGCTTTCCAGGGGCTGTGGATGGGGCCTGGCGTGCTCCCTGGGTCCGCTTGGCAGGGCTGCAGGGCAAGCCCCAAGTTAGTGGCCGAGGGCAGGGTGCAGGGACCCTGATGCCCAGCAGCCAGCTGAGAGGCAGTGCTGCCCCCGGGGCCTCCTCAACGCCCCGTCTGGGCTGGTGTGCGAGCTGACACCGCCTTCCTGGTGCCCCTGTCATCGGCCGGGTGTCTTCTCTGGCACCAGGGGGTCCCCCCGCCCGCAGCCCCTGCTCATCTCAGCAGCACTTCTCAGCAGACTGGTTCTGTCTTGGGCCTTGGCCGCAGCCCAGCACACTGAAGGAGGGGCGGCTGCGCTCCTGTAATGAGAAGTGGGGCTGGCTCTGAGGCCAGGAAGCCTCAGAACTCGGCCAGCTGAGGGCGCCACCCGATCTGCAGCCCTGGGCCGCCCTAGGTGGTTCCTGGTTACCGTGGTACCGTGGCCGGTGGGGACAGGTGCGCACCCCAGCTTTGAGCTCAGCCTGTGCGGCTGTGCTTGGATGCTGTGAACTCCCTAACAAGAACGTCTCAGTCCTTCAGAGGCAGGGACAGGGCTGGGTGGGCACAGGCCTGCGCTCTTCCTGGCAACACTGACCAGGAGCCAGCAGGCTCTGCTTTTCCCGTGACCCTTCTGTGTCCTCTGGCATGGCTTCCACTCATCTCATTTGCTTCCTTGAAGAAGGCATTGTGTTTAGAAATAGACAGGGTGGGATTTCAGTTAAATTGAGTTCAAACATCCATGTTTAAGCTGCTTTTTGGAAGATACTTCTCCTTGCCGTCTCTAGCGGGAAATGGTCAGAGGTACTAGAAGTACATCGCTACACGTTTCTTCCACTAAAAGAATCGGCAGTCGCTTCCCTATTGCTATTTCGTACTCTACAGTCAATTTTTAACGTACTATTATGCTGCTTTCCCAATTTTCTTTCAACTAGAAAAACCATGTCCCATTTCCCTAGATCGTGAATTTGCCAAATAGTAGTTTGAGCAGCATTGGCTTTAACGTGTTCTGTCGTCCTATTTATTAATGTGACAAATGGCCAGGTTTCCATGAGCATTGTCTTTCCTAAGTAGTCTACTGATCTTCCTATTTTGGAACAGAATGTGTGTTGAAAATGAAAGCTTAAAAGTATGCTACTGGGGGCCGGGGATTTAGCTCAGTGGTTCCGGCGCTTGCCTTGCAAGTGCAAGGTCCTGAGTTCAATCAATCCCTAGTACCAAAAAAAAAAAATCTAAACATTCGGGCTGGGGATTTAGCTCAGTGGTTCTCCCGCCTGCCTGGCAACCGCAAGGGCCCAAGTTTGATCCCCGGTACCAAAAAAAAAAAAAAAAAGTATGCTACTGGGACAGAAAACTAACCTAGCCATTATCCCTGTAACTAAACTCCATTTGATAAAGACAAAAACATGTACCATCTCGATTTATAAACCCTGCCTAGTAAATCTGTGATTTACTAACCTAAGTCAACTGCAAGCAGTGTCACTTATTTCTGATCTATATTATGACTTGTGAGCGAATTTATAAAATAGATGGAATGGTACCGGATGAAGTTTATCGACCACAAATGTGTAAAGTGCGCACATTAAGTCCTCACATGCTCGTGTGTATATCTGCGTTTCTCTCAGCCTATGAGATCTCCCCTCTTCTAGCAGCCTCTTGGGCGAAAGGCGGCCGCCTGACTCCTCATACGGGGTGTGTGCAGCCGTAATTACCGGCCGGGGTCTCGACTCCCACAGAGCTCAGCCTTTTCCGGACAGAAATGCTGGATTCTCCTTGACTGCTCCCCATCCTGTTCTTCCTCTTGCTGCTGCCGGAAACCAGAATCCCTAGTCTTCCGCGGTTCCGGGGCAGCCAGGCCCTGAAGTCTCCTTTCTTCCCGGGTGAAATGCTGTGCTTTCTCCCGCTCCCACCGGCCAGGTCGCGGGTCGAGCGGCCGCTGGAAAGGTCAGCGCTGCTCGTGTTGTCCTGGTCTTGGGCTCTTCGTGCAAGTCGCGTGGAGGACGCGGAAGCAGCCGCCTTCTGTAGTGTTGGCTTGAAATGATGAATGAATTAAAGGGAAGAGCCAGGGCGCAGGGAGACACACGACATCCACCGACCCCGAGCTGGCGTCCACGTCTGGGTCCCAATGTCTGGAGACACCAGAAGACGTGGGGCGGTGCTCCTCCGTCCTCCCCAAGGAGCCCGCAGACCTCCCGTTCCCAAGCGCGGCGCAGTCTTTAAATCCGGCTTCGCTTCTCCGCTCCTCCGCACAGCTACGCCCCACTCCCACCAGAGCAGGCCTCGGGCTTTCATGCATGGCTTTTGTGCGCTCACTGGAGCCACAGCGCTGCTGGCTGTGGCCGGGCGAGCGGACTGCGTGACCGGTGGCCGCCACCAGAGGGCACTGCTCCCCAAGGTCGCCGTCCCCAGACTCCCGGGAGCCAGCTGGTCCTCGGAGGGGAGGGGGCTCCGGGCCCAGTGAGGCCAGAGCCTGGCCCTGGGAGTCACAGGGACCCAGGTGAATGACACCAAACCCGTGTGCGCAAGAGCCTGTGTGCACACGCGGGGGTGAGAGAGCGCGTGGGCAGGAGTGGAGGACAAGTGCGGAGCGGGCTGCACCTGCGGCTGTGACTGCGGGGCGCGCTCACTGGGCCGGGCTGCTTGCGTCCCCTCCACCCACCAGCCTGCAGGCTTCGGGGTTTCTGGGTCGCTGGGGGACTGCGGGCTCGGGCGACACACTGAAGCCTGTCCCGTGCGTCTCTTTAGGCTTCCTGTTCGGCCTCAAAGGAGCACAGGGGAGCCGGGGCTACGCCGGGCTTCCGGGCACCCCGGGGGTGAATGGACAGAAAGGACGCAAAGGTGAGGAGCCGCCAGAGGTGGGGAGCGGGGAAGTGGCACCCCAGTACCTGTCAGCACCCCAACCCCAGGTCCAGTGTTTGCTGAGTGTCCCCTTGAGACCACAGGTGGGAGATTGCACCCCTGATCCCACGGGGCAGACGGCTCAGTCAAAACACAGTCGCGAAAAACACTGTGTAGGATGAACTGGCGCACACCTGTCTTCCCTGCACTCGGGAGGCTGAGGCAGGAGGGTGGCCGTGATTTCGAGGCCAGCCTGGGCCGCACAGCGAGACCTTGCCTGTGTTCTCCCACTGCACCCCGAGCCCTTCTAACAGACATGCCTTCTCCCTCATCCACAGGTGACCCTGGGAACTGCAAATGTGCCGAAAGCGATCAGTTCCCCGGGGGGCTTCCAGGACTGCCAGGTCTCAAGGGTTTCCCAGGTGCCAATGGGAAGCCAGGCTGGAAAGGGGAGCCGGGAGACCCCGGCCAGCACGGCATCCCTGGGTTCCCAGGGTTCAAGGTGAGAAATCAGCCCCCCCGGGTGGCCGGCTTTAGTAGGAAGCCGACAGGAGCTGAGGCGCCAGGCTGGCGCATTTCCAGAAGCCAGCAGGGTCTGGTGCACTGCGATCTGAGCACTCTGGTAGGCAGAGGCAGGAGGATCGCAAGTTCCAGCCCAGTCTGGGCAACTTAGCAAGACCCTGTCTCAAAATAAAAATTAAAAAGGCTGGGGATGCAGCTTAGTGCAAAGGCCCTGGTTCAATCCCCGGTACCCCAAAAGGCCACAGGTGAAAGTCAGACCAGGTTAGCACCCGACCCCGATGCACCACTCCCGGTGTGACCACATCAATGCAGAATGTGGGTGCCGTGTCAGAGTGAGTCAGCACCACAAGCGGCCGCTGTCCACTCCATGGGACAGCGCGCACCAGAGGGCTCCACGGACCCGCGGTGCTGAGTGGGCGTGGGGCCTCTTTTTCTCATGACGAAAATGTTCTACAGTTGGTAAAAATCACTGAATTTTATCCTTTCAGTCGGTGGATTGTGTGGTCTGTGAGTTATATCTCAAAAAACAGCCTGCTAGCTTTTTTAAGGTTAACTGTGAACATCTAGCGAAGGCTCCCTTCACCCATTGGAGAGTGATCCCTGAGTCCACCGTGAGGCCACTTGGAGGGAAGGTGGAGTTTCCTGTGGTCCTGAGCAGATCGGCAGGGGGCCAGGGCTCCTCCGGGCCTGCGGCCAAGGCCACGGGCGATCCTTCTCCCAGGGCGGCTCTCTCTCACTCACAGAGCTTCCCAAGCCCCAGATGTGGCAAAGAAACTATACTTTGTTATTTTTAACCTCAAAGGAGAACCGTGGGAGATATCTAAAGAGAAGCCTGTTGTGTTATATATTCAGCAATAAAGAAAGAAATTTCTCAGGCCCCTTAGCCAGGGCCATCCTGGCGAACTGACTCAGAGCTGTGGCCACACACAGCTGTGAAGCCAGGACTCCACCGGCTCGGGGCTGGGGGCAGTGAGACCCGCAGCACCCCGCTGCCGGTCCCGGGTTTCCCCAAAGAACAAGTGGGAAAATGCAACTGAGAGTAGTAGGTGCTCTGCTCTAGCGTCCTTTAAAACCCATACCGCCTCCACATCCCGGCTGTCCAAGCCATACAGGTTGCTCAGGTTTGCAGAAAAAGTTCAGTGTGGCGAGGACCCTGGCAATGTCACAGCGACAGCTGCCTCCTCCCAGGGGCTGGAAGGGTCCTGGGTTGGTGCCACAGCCGCCCAGGTGCACCTGTGCCAAACACACCTTCGGGCTCTGCCGGCCCCGCCTGCATGTCGTCTAGCACTTGACTGTGTGCATCTGGCTACCCCACTGCAGTAGCAATGCCTGATTTTTGTGTAACTGTGGATTGTTCATTTGTTTATTTTTAATATTTGTGCTGCTACTGAGGGAAATGTAGGAATCGATCCATAAGTTTGTCCGCCCGTCCACCGACCCAGGGAGTGTTTATTGGGCACAGTCTGTGTTCGAGACACCGCCCTAGATACTGAGAGGTCGCCTTTTTCGAAAAGACCCAAATCAATAAATCAGGCAGGTGTGGAATTCCTTGGGAGGCGAGGACTGGCACTTGCACTCGCGTGTGACATTCCATTCCTCACGCCCACACTGCCCGCTCCGCTCCCGCGGGGGTTTCTCAGTCAGCTCAGACCAGCGCCTCGCAGATATGACAGCCCCACGCACCAGCTGCTCGCGGGTTTGAACACCTGAACTTCAAACGCCCCGCAATAGCTCCTTTCTAACACGTTTTCCCTAACCGTGACATCACTCTGTGCAGGAAAGTGTCGGTTAATGCTGCTCACTATTCTCCGTAGTAAATGCTCAAGAGCTTGATCCTGTACTGTCTCAAGGGGCGCCTTACCTGCTCGGATTCTCAGTCACTGGAGTTAAGAGTTAAGCCACCTCGTGCTTCAGCTCAGTGCTTCTCCAAATCCCAGGGGAACTGTGAAACGTAGGTCACAATTCACTGCTGGGACGGCCAGGGATGTGGCTCAGTGGCACTGCGCCTGCCTAGCAAGTGCAAGGCCCTGAGTCTGATCCCCAGTACCAAAAACAAAAAACCAACTGAGTGCTCAGGTGGGGTCAGGCCCCTGCCTCTCGCCCCACCAAGCGATGTAGAGTGCTGTCCAGGCATTGCATTCGCACCAGTGAGCCTCTGGCACTACTTCTGCTACGTGGTAATCATTTACATTTTAAAGATAACTGAAAACCTAGCTCCCCAGTCCCCCAGCCTCCGCTCCAGGGCCTGGCCCTCCTGGGGCTCGCGCCCACTTGCAGGACAGCATCTCTGCCATTGCGGCGAGTTCTCTGGGCCCGTGCTGGCTCAGTGACGGCACCCACACTGCAGGAGCTGCGGGCTCCTCCTGTTCTCGGTGTCCTGACGGCTGGAGGAGCCCCAGCATGTGCTTACTTGCCTCCACAGGGAGCCCCTGGCAGCATCGGGGCACCGGGACCCAAGGGAGCGAAAGGCGACTCCAGGACTGTCACCACCAAAGGTGGGTTCTTGGTGGCCAGGCCCCTGGCCCCTGGCCTCCCTTGGACCACGATGAGTGGATTCACCCACAACTCCTTTCCCAGGTGAGCGGGGACAGCCTGGCATCCCTGGCGTGCACGGGATGAAAGGTGACGACGGGATCCCAGGCCGAGACGGCCTTGACGGCTTCCCTGGCCTCCCCGGGCCCCCCGTGAGTACCCTCCAGGGGCAGGGCGCATCCAGCCCTCACCTCCTGGTCCCTCTGCAGTGTTGGGCTTGGCACTAAAGCCCCCAAGTGCAGCACAGGGAGGTTTTGGCTTAAGGGAAGAGTGGAACTGAGCAGTCACAGTGTCCAGGAGTCTACTGTAACTACACACAGCACAGCTGTGTGCAGACTGGCCAGCTGGCACAGGTGGCTCTGTGACCCGCTTCTGAAGAAGGCCTGTCTGAGCCAGGTGTGTCAGGGCACACCCGAAACCCCAGATGTCATGCTGGGGAGGCTGAAGCAGGAGGATTTAGGGTTGGAGGCCAGCCTGGGCGACTTAGTGAGACACTGCCACTAAACAGAGTGTACACAGGACTGGGGCTGGGGCTTAGAGGCGGGCCTTGTCTCCACGGGAGAGCTGGTAGGGGCCGGGGTCGCTCGACCCACAGCATGGAATTGGGGGCGGGGGAGTCGGGCCACCTGTGACGTTTGTCTTTATTTTGAGCTAACCTGGATTTTCGCACAGGGTGATGGCATCAGAGGCCCCCCAGGAGACTCTGGTCCCCCAGGAGCACCCGGAACCAAGGGCCCCCCGGGAGAGGTGGGCCCTCCGGGCCTGGGCATGCTGGGCCGCGAGGGCGAGCAGGGTTTCCCAGGAGACGTGGGGCTACCCGGGTCCCCAGGCTTCCCCGGCCCTCCCGGCGCCCCTGGCAGCCCCGGAGAGCTAGGTAAGACGCAGCGGCCCTGGTCTTGGGGCGCGGCCTGGCCAGACCCCTCCCTCTGCTCCTCTGCCATGCGAGTCCTGAGGGGTCTGCGAGGACACGGCTGCCCCTGCAGCTCCAGGGCTTCCTGGGCCGGCCCCTGCCCTCCTGGGCACGGCTCGGAGGCCCACGCCCCTCACACTCAGACACGCGCTCCCTCACACCTGTGCACACCCGGGATGGGCGTCCTCCTCTCGGTTCCGGTCCTCACTCTCCTGGTGTCTCCTCAGACTGTGAAACAGGCGTGAAGAGCCCCACCGGGGGTGACACACAGGAGCCCGTGCAGCCAGGTACGTGGGAAGAGGTGGCCGGGGCAGGAATGGTCGCCTGCCCGGACTGGGCCGAGCGTGGGCTTCTGCTCAGAGCCGAGGGACGGGCCAGACCCTGAGTCCCCGTCACCAAGCGGTGCCAGAGGACAGCACATGGCACCGCTCTGGGTGCTGGCGGGAGCCCGGCGGGGCACTCAGGACATGGGTGGGCCCAGGGCTCCCCCGAAGCCACACGGAGATGGTGGCAGGCGCTCCATGTTCATGGGGTGAGGTTGAGGACCCTGGCCGGGGTGGGCCGGGAAGGAGGACCGGGGGGCTTGGGGGTCCTCACCAAGGCACAGCGGCAGGAAGTGACAGCAGGGGACCTCGTGGGTGTGGCCAGTGGGGTTTGCATAGCCCAGGTGCTCAGACCCTTGGGCGAGGTTCCCAGGGCAGTGGACACAGAGGTGCGGCCCCGGGGGAAGGTCAGGCTGGGCCGTGGGTGTGCAGGGCACAGGGCGAGGGACCCAGGCAGGGTGGCTACACTGCCATCAGGAGGCTGCCCGGCTCCAACACTGCACGGGAAGCCTTCCCCTCTCCTCCCCGGCATCCACAGAGCTTGCAGAGTGGCTCACAGATGCTATTCCCTGCGAGGAGAGCGAGCCGGTAGGGACAGGGGTGTGGACGAGTCCTCTCGAGGGACACCCTTCCTCCAGAAGGGTGGAGGCTCCCGGTCGGACCCCACAAGCTTGGGCCCCCAGGAGGAAGACAGGAGGGACGGCTAGCACCTCCCAGTGTGGCCGCTCCGCCAGGCCACAGGGAGAAGCCCAAGGTGGGCATGGGGGCGCACACCTGTCATCCCAGCACTCGAGAGGCTGAGGCAGGAGGCTTTCCCTGAGTTCAAGGCCAGCCTGGGCTACATAGTGAGTTGAAGGCCAGCTTGGAATACATAGTACTGGAGACCCCTGCAGTTAGGGTCCAGTATCCTGCCCAGTATACAATGCAGGCCTGAGAAATAAAACTAAAAGGCAGAACCAGAAGAGAGAAAGCAGGGGCCAGGAGGACCAATGCTGGTGCAACTGAAAAGGGCATTGGCCAGTCCCAGGCCCTGATTGATTGGGGGGGGGGCAGGTACCGGGGATCGAACTCAGGTCCTTGAGCTTGAGAGGCAGGCGGTGGAACCACTGAGCTAAATCCCTGGCCCACTGATTGATTTTTATTGGCAATCAATTGGGGTAAAGGCAAGCTATGTGCAAGGGCAGGACTACATGCGGTTGCTATGGAAATTAATGTAAGCAAGGCTCATAAAGCACAAGACAAATCATCCTCGAATTAGGAACAGAACAGACAAAATATAGGGTTGTTACCAGAACACTGTGCTTCTAGTCAGAAGGTTTTAGTTGTGGGAACGGAATTTGGGTGCGAGTTACTCTGACCTCGGCACACAGGCTTCGGCCAGACTCGCTTCTATAAACAAGTCAATCGTGGGGTTAACGCTTCCCAGCCTGCCTTGGGCATGATCAATATTGCGGTCCCCTGCACACAGGAAGACCCTGTCTCAAAAGAAAGAGTCCAAGGAGTTCCCTCTGCAGTCACAGGAGTGTCCGCTGAAAGGCATTTCCGGGTCCCAGGACACGTCCACAGGGGCCGCCGGTGCATTCGGGCTGTGGCTGTGTCCTTGTGCGGATAGCAGCAGGTGTCACTACCACACCTGTCTGCCTCTGACGTGCTGGCTTCTTGGCATCTTATGCTAATATTTGATTTCATGACACAAAAAAATGTTTATTTCCATCAGACCCAAGATGAATTAAATCATGGGGCCACTGGTCACCCAGCACTGGCCACTTCCCTGCCTCCTCTGAGCTCCTCCCTCCTCTCCCCAGGTTGCACTGGAGGCCCCAAGGGATCGCCTGGCCTGCCTGGCCCCCCTGGGCCCCCAGGTAATGTGCTGCCCGGACCCTGGACTAGGCGGGATTCTAGCGTCCCAAACCCCCAGCCCAACTCTGACCCTCCCTGGGGAGGAACGTGTGTGGGGGCCCCAAGCTGCACCCCCAGCTGAACGGGAGGCTTCTGCTGGCACCTGGAGAGAATTGCTCTGAGCCTGAGGTGCCACACTGGTGGTGCATCCCACCCGGCCTCGAGGGACCAACTGGCTTGGTGTCTTTTTGGTATCCAGGTGACAAAGGCCCCAGAGGGACCCCAGGATTCCTGGGAGTGGATGGACCACCGGGGCTCAAGGGCTTCCCTGGAGACCCTGGCCGAGAAGGATTCCCAGGACCCCCAGGTGGGCAGGGCAGGGAAGGGCCGGTGGGTGGCGCTGGTGTCTCCGGGCTCGGAATGTGACCACGAGGACCTGAGGCTGAGGTGCCACCCTGTTTCCTTTTAGGGTTCATGGGACCCCGAGGATCCAAGGGTGCTGTGGGCCTGCCCGGCCCCGATGGACTCCAGGGCACCAGTGGCCTGCCAGGCCCTGCGGGGCCCCCTGGGGACAGGGGCATTCCCGGAGAGGTTCTGGGGGCCCAGCCCGGGCCCCGAGGAGACACCGGGCTGCCTGGACACCCCGGGCGAAAAGGCCTCCCCGGAGAGCAAGGAGCCCCTGGATTCCGAGGTGAGCCACACAGTGGGTGGGGGTGACCCCGCCAAGGCCTGGGTCATCCTGGGGAATCTGGTGAGAGGCGACTGAGTGTCCCTGTGAGGTCGCCTCCTGCAGCCAGTCCAGGTCAGCCTCGAGGCCTCCGCGGCCCAGGCCTGTGCTCTGCTGCCCCAGCTGCACCAGCCTTGCTGTCCCCGAGGCCTGCATAGGTGCAGGAGCATCAGGCCCGGCCACAATGGGCACAGGCCGCGGGGAGACGGCAGTGGTCCCAAGTGCAGCTCCGGGACTGGAGTCAAGACCAAGCGCTGCAGAAGGCCCTAATGTGCACGCTGCCCCCAGGCGCTGGGCCAAGTAGCAAACACTGCGCGCTGGCTCTGAGCGGCTGCGGGCCATGCCCTGCGAGCCCGGCCCAGCCCTGATGCACCGCATTGGTGGCCGTTTCTCGTTTCTCGGGGCTGGCTCTGTTTCAGTCCCCCGGCCCGCCCCAGCCAGGGCTTCTGGGTGGTGCAGACCACCTGTCCCTCCCCGGGCTCCGCACCAGAGTCACCAGTGTCCTCATAGCAGGACCACAGGCGAGTGCATCCTGGGCCGTGATGGGCGGCCAGGAGCCCGAGGAGCTCAGGAGCAGACATGACGTTGAGGCGAGTCTGTCGGTGTCCCTGCGAGGCAAGGAGGCAGTGACACAGGGCTGATGGGCTCCCCGTGGGGGCACAAGGCAGAGAGGGACTCACGCGCGTATGTGACACACGCATGCACACACACACCCGCTCACAGCAGCACTGGTCCAGCAGCACCTGGCCGGCCTGGGCTCCGCTGCAGGGACACACACGAGCACACTCACACTCACACACTCCACACCCATGCACACGAGCGCAACATATGCCTGCAGATGTTACAGTTCTGCACGTGAGAGACAAAGCGTTTGACCAGCAAAAGTAAAAACAGCTGCGCTCCAAGATGAGAAGGTGCATGCCGCGAGTGTCCCCCCGAGGACGCGTAGGGTCTGTCACAAACATCTCAGGGTCCCCAGAGGGACGCGAGCAAAGAGTAGAGACGGCACCAAAGAGCAGAAAGGGGAAGGGATGGTGCTCGTGGGACGCGCGAGGGCCAGCACAGCCCCTGAGCCACCCCTCCACCGCCGGCCAGGTCTCTGGTGTGGCCTGAGTTTGCAGCTCCGCGCCGGGGCAGTCGCTAGAAAACTGATGCAGAGACTGAAGCCAGGCCGACGAGGGGAGGGTCCCAGCTGGGCGGAGGTGGGGAGGGTCCCTTCCGGGCCGCCTGCCTAGGCGCAGCACAGTCTGTGCACCAAGCCGACCTAGGGACGCAGCGGCAGAATGGGCGAACCACGCCCACAGCGGAATCTTATTCGCAGAGCCTGGGAAATGTTTGCAGAGAACAGATTGAAATGTGAAACATTTGTGGGACTAGAAAAGGCGGAAGGAGACTGGCCAGAATGCAGCACTCTGGAGCTGAGGCTGCGGAGGGGCTGTGGCTTTGACCCCGGCTCCTCTTCGTGTTTCCAGACTCTGGAACCCGGAACCCAGAGCCTCTCTGCAGGCTGCCCGCACCGGCAGACCTGGCCTTACCACTGTCTTCCCCTTCCCACAGGGAGCCAGGGGATGCCCGGAATGCCAGGGCCCAAGGGCCAGCTGGGCTTCCCAGGACCCTCGGGCCTCCCGGGACTGCCCGGACGTGCAGGACAGCATGGATTCCCAGGAGCTCCTGGCCCAGAGGGGCCCTTGGGGCTGCCTGGTGTCTCAGGCAGTGAAGGTAGGAGCCCCGGGTTCCGAACACAGGACGTGTATTTTGCCAAGGAGAATTTAAACAGCTGAGAAACAGGCTCCTCTTTTGTACTTGTGCATATACTGGGGATCTAGGGAAGGTTTTATGAGAGACAGAAAAATAATAGAAATTCCCGCTGCAAAAGTTCAGACCCCTGGTCCACTCTGGAGAGGGGAGGTGGAGGAGTCGGCACTGGGGAAGCCAGCATGCACCGTGCATTTTGTGCACCAGGAAGTACTGCCCAGGCTGGTCTGGGGCTCCCCCTCAGATGTAGAAAGCACTGAATGCCGAGCTAAGGGTTAGGGGCAACCGAGGCAAAGACAGCCAGTGGTGGCTTTTAACAGAGAAGGGCAGACAGGTTTCGGGAAGCAGTGGGAGGCTGCCTGTGGGGTCTGGTGTGAGAGGCAGCGAGGGTGACCAGGCGGGGTAGGAGGCAGGAAGAGGCAGGAAGAGGCAAGAAGAGGCAGGTGGGGCCAGGGGCTCCAGAGATCTCGTCCCTGCCCAACCCCCGCCCACCGCACGGCTCTGCCTGGCCCCAGCGGCTCCGAGCTCCGAGATCGCCCCCGAGAGGAGCGTCCCTCTGGGGTCCGGCCTCGGGCCCTGGGAGGCTCACGTCACCCGAGTTTGCTTCCCGCCCTGACAGGTCTGCCTGGAGACAGGGGGGACCCTGGCGACACGGGCACCCCCGGCCCTGTGGGCATGAAAGGTCTCGCTGGGGACAGAGGTGACACCGGCCTGGTGGGCGACCAGGGCCGCCCAGGGGACCCCGGGTTTAAAGGGATGGACGGGATGCCGGGGATCCCCGGGCTGAAAGGTGAGCACTGTGTGGAGGGGCAGAGGCTGCCTTGGCCTCCCTCAGGCCTGTCCCCTGTCCCTGTCCCCTGTCCCTGTCCCTGTCCCCTGTCCCCGTCCCCTGTCCCCTGTCCCTGTCCCCGTCCCTGTCCCTGTCCCCTGTCCCTGTCCCTGTCCCTGTCCCCTGTCCCTGTCCCC